TTTATTCGAGTATTTAGTAATATTATTCGGCCTTACTAATACTCTAGCTACTTTCTAACGAATAATTAATAACGTACTTAGGGAGTACTTAGATATCTTCGTTATAATATATCTAGATAATATCTTAATCTTCTCGGAGACCCTTAAAAAATATAAAGAATATATTTATTAAGTATTAAAAATACTTTAAGATACGAACCTCTTAGTTAACCTAAAGAAATACGCGTTTTATATATAAGAAACTATCTTCCTCGGATATATAATCCGACTAAACGAAATTCTAATAAAATAAGTAAAAATTAATATAGTTAAAGAATAGCCTAAACTAAAAAATAACCTTAAGGAAGTATAAGTATTCGTAGGATTCGTAAACTACTACCGGCGCTTTATACGCGACTTCGCGAAAATCATAGTATTACTTATAGAACTTACGAAGGGTAAGAAGGAATTTTACTTTAGAAAAGAATAAAAAAAAGCTTTCGAGATATTACGAGATAGTATAATATCTAATACTATACTTATAACCTACGACCCCGAAAGACTACTCGAGTTAGAAATAAATATATCGGACTACGCTATAGGAGTATAAATTAGCTAACGAGACGATAATAATAATCTACGACTAATTACCTTCTTCTCGAAGAAACTCTATAGTATAGAACTAAACTATCCTATCTACGATAAGGAATTCTTAGTAATTATCGCCGCTATTAAAGAATTTAAGTATTATATACTAAGGATAAAGTTTAGAACTAAGGTTTATACCGATTACTAAAATATCTCTTACTTCGCTACGATATAAGAACTTAGCTCGTAATAAGTACGATATATTAAATTCCTAGCCGAATATAATATTAAGATTATTTATCGGAAAGGATCGGAAAATAATAGAGTAAATATACTTAGCCGCCGATTAGACTACGATACTAAAGTATTAAAGGCTAAGGGCTAGATACTTTAATAAAATAACGAAAGGAGCTACGTATAAATAGTACTTAACCTTCTTATATTTAGAGTTAAAGTAGATATTATATACTACGATAAAATACTAAAATAAGTATTTAAATATAGGGAAGAAATACCTAGCGACTATACGATAGAAATAAGAAAAGGACTTACTAAGAATAGATTACTCTAGATACTACTACCGCTATATAATAAAATCTTAATTAATATTTATACGTACCCTACGGTAGGATATTAAAGAGTTAAGAAGACTCTCGAACGAATATAACGAACGTACGATTACTAAGGAATTAAGGTAGATATTATATATATCGTTAGATAATACGAAGATTATATATATAGTAAGGCTGCCCGGTATAAACTATACGGAGAATTAAAGCTATTACTAGTGCCTTTAAGACTATAGGAATTAATAGCCTTTAATTATATTATAAAGCTACCTAAATTAAAGGAACTAGGATCTAATATCGAATATAATAATATATTCGTTATTATAGACTAAATAAGTAAATTCGGATATTTCCTACTATACTAAGAAGCAATAGATATAGAGATACTCGTATATATAGTACTTAAATATATCGTAGCTAACCACGGCCTTCCGGAAGAGATTATTTCGGATCGAGGGATAATATTTACCTCGAAATTCTAGTAAGCCTTAATAGCTTAACTTAGAATAAAGTATAAGCTTAGTATAGCTTACTACCCTTAGATAGATAGATAGATAGAAAGGTTAAATTAGATACTAGAATAATACCTATAGTACTATATTAACTATGAATAAGATAATTAAGTCTCGAAGTTATTACTCGCCTAACTTACTTATAATAGTATACTTACGGAATTAACTAAGATATTACTATTCTACGCGAACTACGGGTACGAACCTAAGTTCGGTAATAAAATACTAAGGGATAGACCTCTTACTAAAAAAGCTATACTTAAAATAGACTAGCTACGCTTATTATACGAATATATAAAAAAATAACTCGAATTTATACGTGCACGAATATCGAAATACTATAACTAAAAAAGATCAAAAGGACCGATCTTTTAGAGGGGAGATATAGTTTACTTATTACGTAAAAATTTTATAATAACTCGACCCTTATTAAAGCTCGACTATAAAAAGCTTAGACTATTTAAAATTAACGAAGTTATCTTAGATACTAACTATAAGCTTTCGCTACCCTTAAGTATAAAAATATACTTAGTTTTTTATATCTTATTACTTAAAAAAGTACTATAAAACGTAAAAATAAACTACGAACTAAAAGTCCTCGAAGAACTCTACGAACTTAAATAAATTATCGATAAATAAATAATAGATAGGGAAGTTAAATACCTTATTAAATAGAAAGGCTATATAAGTAGCGAAAATATATAGGAACCCGCTAAATACCTTAAGAATTACTATTACTTATTACGATAGTATTATTAAAAAGAAATATATCGGGTATTATGCTTTAATCGATAACCCTAAATATACTTAATTCCTAAGCACGCCTAACTACCTATTACTCCTTAAGAATAGCCTCTTCCTAAGAACGCACCCTATCCTCCTTATCTAACTCACGTATATTATAAGATACTAACTCCGAGGTCCGACTTCGAAGTAATTCTTATTAGCGACGAAGACGCTAAACGCGCCCTAGAGCCTCTTAGAGCTCCCTCTTAGATTTTTCTAAATCCGCTTTTACTTATTTTTACTTAGATACCGCACGCGTTACTAGAACGTAAGTTAGTATATATATAAAAAATATATATAGTACTTACGGTACGATACCACGCTAGTACTATTATAAATCTTCTTTATTTCGATATATAATATATAACGACGGGAATTATTACTTATACGATAAATACGCTTAGCGCGATAATAACGAGTATAAGGTATCTCGCTCTTAGAATTATTAAAATAAATAGCTTTAATTAGAATAGCGCGACACGAGTCGTTAGTTCTCTTATAAGAAAATAGACGTTTCTATATACGGTTAAGTATAATAAAAGAAAGAAGTTACCGAATATAACTTATAAAGGATAACTAATAGGTTTTAGCTAATTCTAGGATAGAATCTCGGAAGGGGAGATATTATATTACGACCCGATATACGACTATATACGCCTCTTACGTGCCCCCCTGTTTTTTTCCTCTTATTATATATTACCCGTATACTATATAGGATAGACGACTATAGGTAATTAGCGATTATAGTCGACTATACTATAAAGGCGCTCGTAAACGATAGTCGACTATCGTCGACTATATAATATTAACTTAGTATATAGGAAGCCTAGCTTCGCTATAGTTAGTCTCTACTAGCTCTTTAGCTATTAATATAATAGTCTACGTAAGATCTACTATCTCGTATATAGACTATAACCCGACCGCTTAAGTTAACGATATCCTAGTATACTTAGTTTATAAACCGACTTTAGATCTACCTACCCTATAGTTAGTCTAACCCGAACGTCATAGAAGACCTATTAGCAGGAATATAACCGCTATGCGGGAGGACGCAGAGTTCCCATCGACACCCTGTCGGAGCAATAGCATGGAAAGCTCGTGTACCCGGCTGCGGAGGCGGCAACAGACACTAACATGTAAGTGCCGCTTGATTCGCGGGTACTAAACGGAAGCGCCAATCGTGGTTTCGCTAACTATAACGGTTACGCCTAACCGTTGCGCCATGGGCAAAAGATCAGGCATTGATCGAATGACGAGCGATCAATACAGGCGTAATAGCTGCTTATAGGGGGTTACGAGGGACCAGGTCGTAACATTAGCTCCCCTCCTCCAAGAGGTCGTCCCGACCTCCTAGGCTCTCCACGCACTAGCCTCGCTAGCGCGATCCTAGCAGCTACTGACCCCCAAGGCGTTCCGCAATAGTCATGCCCAAGCTATTCGCGCGGAGCCTTGTTAGCGGCGGGGCTCGAACAGTGGACCTTGAACAGCAGCCCCCTGCCCGACCGGGCCACCAGCTCTTTTCGATCAAATTGTAACGGTTACGCCTAACCGTTGCGCCATGGGCAAAAGATCAGGCATTGATCGAATGACGAGCGATCAATACAGGCGTAATAGCTGCTTATAGGGGGTTACGAGGGACCAGGTCGTAACACTAACCTGGTCGTCACACTCCCAGGAACACGCAAGCGCGACGAACTTTCTTAACAAATCATCCCTACGGATACCAAAATGCCGGGCAACGCAGACGACATGAACGACTTGCAGAGCAAGCGGCCCAGGATGCCGATTACTATCGTAATCGCTACAACACACACCACTCCGTTAGTAGCCGGCCTGCGGATTATTGGACGTTCGATAAGGCAACCGGGCACTTTTACCATGTAAATGATGACAAGAGTGTCACATGGCGACAATGAGCAGAGGGATAGTCTTCCTCGGCGCCTTGGGATTCTTACGTCGTCCGAGAACCGGGTGGTTGCTGCTGTCCGGACCAATTGCGAGCGGGTCTTGCAATCCAGTGAGTTGTGCTGCAGCAGGGAAAGTTTGAAGCGAGTTTTATGAAATATCAATGCTGTTTTCTTTTGTACCCTAGACTGTTCCGCTTCCGTAGCCATGCCCTGCACGTTTTCAATACCAAGCGAGGGAGGCGAGGGTTATGCCTAATGCAATACATGACCGGCTCTCTATTGCATTAGTAGCTCTTCTCCCAGACCGAGTCTTATTAGTATCAGTCGATGGGACCGACTGCGGCAGGTCAGATGTACGGGTCTTCCATCGCTCAACTGCAGTTCTTCTCGGTTTTTTCCTTGGGCTCGCCCGCATGTGCACAGGGCAGTGGAACGATCCTAAGTCAGCGTTCGCCTTTCGATGACGTTCGATTTCCGGCCAGCCGCCGACTATAGCATCTCGTTCCTGAAGGGAAAAGGACTACTAAGTCCTTGTTATTTCCATTCGATGTTATGGTGCGTAGTCAAACGATAGAGCCAGGTTAGTCCTGGTGGTCGAGGCACTATGGGCGCCACAGGTGATAGATGGGATAAACCCGACCCTTGCTGGGTCACAGAGCTCATCGATATTCCCCACCACAGTCGCCCATGGATTCCAACATCTGTTGCCTCTGACTCACTGCCAGGATCCCATCAATCTGCGCCTTGTCCTCCCTGTCTAGGGACCAGCCAAAGCTAGCCGCGTTCTCCTCAATGTGCTCACTAATACCTACGCGTGTGCCGACAAGGACGGCCCCGACGTAGGGGAAGTCGAGCACCCACCGGGTCGCCACGTTGGAGATACTGACACCGTGCTTGGTGGCGATGGCGGCGAGAACTTGCAGGAGCTGCTGGAACAGGGACCAACCACCCCATGCACGTATGACGCCGTGGTACTGTCTTGGGTGTCAGACATCAAGACGGAACGAAGTCGATGGAACTCAGAGCTGACATACCTTGCGTTGACTAGGAGTGATGGACTCCTCGTAGAGGCCCGGCTCTGGCTTTCCAACCCACTTGTCGGATAGGAAACCACCACACTAGATTGCATGCGCGTTAGAGGCTGGCAATCAACGAGACACTAAGCCCTCTCGTTGGGCACAGGGAATCTTACCAGTGTCCCGTACGTCAGGAGCTTGACGCCGTGCTTCTCACAGACGGGACCCATCGAGGCGGTGGGACGGGAGTCGACAAGCGAGAACTGTTCTGCGCGTCAGAATCAAGTGTCACACTGAACAGGGGCTTGACCATACCTGAACCTGATTCGTGTGAATCTTGATACCAGCAGCAACGACCTTCTCGAGGTGCTCCGTATCAAAGTTGCACAGGCCCAGGGTTAGCACCCTCTCGTCCTCTGCGATGAACCTAAGGGCGTCTAGGTACTGCGGGTCGTCGTACTGTCGTCCTGTAAGCTTCTGCTTCCAACGGCCAAGGAACAAAGAAAGAGACATCATACATCTTGCCAGTGGAATTGCAACAGATCGAGACGCTCCGACTGAAGTCTCCGACACCTCTCCGTGATGTTGGCCTTGATGGCCTCCCTCGTCACGGTCATGGGGTGAAAGACGCAGAGCTTTGTCGCTGCGAATACTCTGTCCCGTCGAGGATTCGAGGACAAAAACATGCCCTGCGCACGAAACCGATGAGCAGACAGAACTATGCATACAGGTGTTCAACTCACAACCAGGATCTCAGCGTCACCATAGTGGTCGGCCATGTCAAAGGCAGTAAGGCCGCTCGTAACGTGGGAAGAGAGATGTGAGATGATCTTGGACGTGGGCGCCGAGCCCCATGCGGAGCTGGAGAGCTGCCAGAGCCCCGCGAAGATACGGGGTAGTTGTCGGCCGTTGAGGGCAAACTTCTCGTAGCCATTGCCATGGCCATCGCCGTTGCTGTCAGTGGCGTCCCCTGGGTTAGCCTCGGCTGGCGCGGCGGTCTCCTTGTCACCAAGAGTGGCTTTCTCGCCTAGCATGCCAGCCGTGGCGAGAAACGCCCTCGTGTATGGAAACTCGAGCCTTCTCTCGGCCGTCATGGCGTGGCAGTCACGCAGGGTCTGATACACGCCTGTAACCGCTTGCCGCTCATCGCTGGACAGGGTACGCCGCCCCCGATCTGACACGAGTGACTTCTCTATGGCGGTCACGGCCTGGACAACGTCGCCATCCACAGCCGCCAGAAAGTCGTCGCGCAGTGCGTTTGGTGTGGCGTTTTCATCGCCCTGTGAGGTCGGTACACACATCTGGACAGCCTGAGTCGCGAGATCGCCCAGCAAAGGCAGGCTCTGGAAACAGAGTCCGCACCCAATCATGCACCGGATGGTCTGCAGCCGCGTCTTGAGCGTCTCCAGCCCGCTGCTGCTGTCTGGCGCTGGGATCGTCGTGGTGTCGGTGTCTGGCATCATTGTGGCCGTGATATATCTCCTCGTTTCCGCCTCAAAGGTTGACACCGCACTGGGATGGGCTGCCAGCAGGGACCTCATGATAATGCGCAGTCCGGCAGGCGACATGTTGGTGATGATGGTGTCGGTCATCATGTTGACATGGGCGCTCTTGGCAACGCCGGGCCCTTTCAAGCTCGCGACATCCATCTTCATGGTGCCTGTGGCTACACTGTCGTGTAGGAGGTTACTCTGGTTGAATCGGCGAGTGTTCGTGGCGTTGGGTATTTGGAGAACTCCTGTACTCTGCAGTCAGGCGGTCTGATGGTTGCAGGTAATCAGTGATGGACCATCACTCTCTGTCTACGGACATAAGATGCCGAGTCACCCAGGTCCCAGGCGATGGTGATGTATTTGGAGAGTCAGCAATGCGATCCACCATGAACGCCCAGCCGATTCCAGATCAGGATTCAGGACCAACCAGTCAATCAAATCACACCGGCGTTTTTGTTCTCCTGCAGGGTCCAGCCTCCAGCCGGCCGGTTATCCGCCTCCGGTATCGCCACTGCGTCGCCTAACACAGTGGACTGTGAGTGTGGAGACTCATTCGAGGCATTTATAATGACCACAGGAATCAGGATACCGATAACCAGCCAGCCAATCTCCTATCTGCATATGACGGCCTATCGTTTTGATTGCCGCCCGGTGTTATAAAGCCTACCGTCGGGCCGGTCTCTTCTACGTTCAATCGTCCTGGCGGACTGCGAACGACTACAGCCCAGCACAAATCAATCGCTCCCAAGTCAGACAGCAGCGGCTATGCCTGAGGAACGGATTCGATCGGCCCGGGCGTGCATGCCCTGCAGGCGCATCAAGACGAGGTGCATGTTGCGGACGGGAGAGTCTCGATGTCAGCGATGTACGCGCAAGTCGCTGGACTGCGTGTTTCGGGAACATCAGCGCGGGAGAAGGCCCGGCACAAGGTCAGTCTCGTCTTGCTCTGTTCGATGCTATCCAGGCTGCATGGCGGAGAGGCGAGTGTCAAAGATCGGCTCATTAACGCACTCAAAGGTTTTCAAAGGACAATGCCACAGCCTCCGTGACGCGATCACCCTCCCAGTCTCCAGTGGCCCCCTACCCGCCCCATGAACCAACGTCAACTGCTGCTGTCGCTGCTTCCACTGCGGCTGCAACGCCTGGCCCTTCACAGATCTCTCATTCCCGTCAGCAGGTGCTGGATGCCCCGGGTTGGGAGACAGGACCCCTGCAGCCGTCGGGCCTGCTGGACCATGCCATGTCCCGGGGTCGCTTCTCGCTGCGCAACATCCTCAGCACGACCGATCCCGCCGTCCCCGACCGAGGCGCTGACCCATTCTCCTCCCTGCCGTCCGCGGACCCTGTGCAGCGCGGCCTCCTTAGCTTGTCGGCGGCCTCGTCGCTCTTCAACAGGTAAACGAGCCATCTTATACGTCCAGGAAAAGGCGTTGTTGACAATGGCCTAGCTTCATGGCCAACTTGAACCCCTATATCAGCCAGCTGGACCCCCAGCTGCACACCCTCGCATACGTTCGGCATAAGTCGCCGTTTCTTGTGTCGGCTATCCTGGCTGTCGCCGCCAGGGTCTTCAACCCGCCCCTGCATGAGCGCCTGCTCTCGTATGCCGAGGATTTGCTGGTTGATGGCTTCCGACGCGGGCGCAAGTCGACCGAGACGGCACAAGCTGTCGTGATCCTGACGTACTGGAAGACGCCCGACGACGATCGTGCCTGGATCTCACTCGGCTATGCCGTCCGCATGGGCATGGAGCTGGGCTGGCACCGGCTGACGCGGTACGCGGGTAGCAGCGCCGCTGGAAGCCCCATGACAGAGATGCAGAAGCTCGAGGTCCGCAACCGCGAGCGCACGTGGCACGTCCTCTTTGTGTACGATCGGAGGTGAGCCGTCCTTAGTCCTCCACGCCCCTTTTTATCTCGAAATCCGCCAGAGGCTGACGGAGAATCTAGTATGAGCCTCCAGACAGGCAAGCCTTGGATAATTGAGCGCAGTGACTTTACCGAGTCCGTAGAGGCGTGGTGCAAGGACCCGCTGGCGGCACCGGGCGATTGTCTCTTGGGGGCCTTTGTCGTGTTGCGGCTCCTGACCTCGGAGGTGTTCAAGCTGCTGGGGGACCGTCCGACCAAGGGCGGCAGCGGCCGCCTCTATCCTCTCGAGTCTTTGCTGGCCGTGATTAAGGGGAGGATTGAGGAGTGGGAAGCCAAATGGATTAAGGCGGCTTCGCAGGGTGAGTTGCGCCCATTCAAACCTGGGGCTGGCTAATAATCGCCCCTTTGACGGTGTCTGTGCTTACTGACCGTGTGTTGTTGCAGAGAGCTGTCATCAATTTCTCATCCACTTCTATGGAGCCCATCTCCGTCTCCAGCTATTCTCGCTACCGCTTCAGGAGGTCTTGTCGCGCAAGGAGCAGGATCTCTTCCTCAACTTTGAGGCCTTCTGGACGAGCTACTCGAGCGCCCTCGAGATGTTGCATCTGCTGTGTCGCTTCTCGTCGTGCATCCATCTCGCCCAGGATTCTGTTCACGTCATGACTGCGTACTGCGTTACCTTTCTCATTAAGGTCAGTCCCTTTCTTTTTTGTTTCTGGCAGTATGGGTGTGTTTGTATAGGTGAAATCCGCAATATTGACATGTTGTCTTCTTTTCAAAAGATCCTGTCTGTCCCGTCGTCTATCACAGCACAGATCGAACCCGAGATTGGCGACGCCATTCGAGGCGCCGCCCAAGCGCTGCGCCAACACCCAGTCTTGCCAGGCACGAGCTGCGCCCTACAAGCCGAGTTCCTCGACAGGATCATCGCCCGGTATTTTGTGAGGAAAGGTGAGCAAGCCCATGCTCAATCCACTCCTGTTGCCCGCAAGGAACAGCCAGGCCACATGCACAAGTTGCCTAGTGACGGAGGAGTTTCTCTCATGCGAGACTGGACCATTGCTGCCACGTCGATGCCGGGCCCGGCCGTCTTCTTCGATGACGACGACTTTGGGGGCCTTGACGCCATTTTCGGTGAGGGCGCCCTCTGGGGTGGTGCGGCGACAGAATCTGTACCTCCGGCCCAGGAGGGTGGCTTCTACACGTAGACTATGTGAGCAGCGTCCAACGAGGCAATGGTGAATCTCAGCTGTATGTGTGCATGTAACATGAGCATCATCATGGATTGGAAGCTGTGGTTGCAGACTAGCTTGCTACTATGTGACAGACACATTCCATGATTTCCGCATTTCCATACCGGCCACCCATTCTCGATCTATCCAGGTTACGCACCAGATGGTGTCGATGGAGTGTTCAAGGGCAACACGGTGGTCTCAGAGTGCTTGAAGACACGGACACCTTCCCGGACAATCCTGAGCTGGGACGGACAGTTCGGATCCGGACAAGCAATCAGAGCATCCGTCGTCATCCAGTCATTGGCGTCAGTGACACGTTGCTTGGCTGGGAGGAGAGGCAGCACGGACGCTGTCAACCTGTCAGCTCTGTTCGCCTCCATCTTCTCGTTCGCCCCTCGCCTGTCTCCCCTTGGAGAGTCTCTCGCCACATCACATACCCAGGCTGTAGATGCTGATGCCCTGGCCAGGCGGCAAATGGAGCATCTCGCCCTGGAGGGTGAAGTAGTCTCCCTCGCGGGCCCCACACATGATTCTCTTGCCTGCAGGGCACGAGACTTCGACCCGGAGGTCATAGAGCTTGAATGAGTCGTCAGTCGCCATGTCTGCCCAAAGTTGCTGCAGTCGTCTGAGTCGACTCGGGTCTGGCGCCGGGGGACTCGTTGCCCACACGCAAGACCCGGGTCTTTTTAATCCCGGATGGTTCCCAACATGAATCGTGCATCACCCGCTATGGCTGTCGACGAGGTGCGGGGGAAGTGACAGTCGTTGCCGCCACCGGCTCACGGCATTCATCGGGACTCGGGAGGAGGCGATGGCCGACGGACTTGAGGTTATTGCCGGCGACGTGCCCTGCCGGCAATCTAGTTTAGCCCAGAGGTAGGGCCGACGCCGGCGTCCTAACGGCCAAGGAGACCTAGCCCCCCCCCCCCCAACGACCATTCATAGCATCCTCTTTCCCCCCGTCTTATCAATGTGTGGGCCAGGGCTGGAGTAGAGCAGATAGGCGGAGATAACGAGGGGCTAGACTAGAACTACCCCATAGTCCACGGGCTGCCGTGGCCACATGGCCTGCGGGCGCGGCTGTGGACTTTGGGCGAGCCTATCCAAGGACATGACATGATAGCTATCGCTCTTCGGATAGAGTCATCCCCCAAAGGTCAGTCGACCCTCCTCTTCAAATATCCCTGACTGGCTCTCCCTCCGAAGGTCACAGGCGGGCTAGACGATCTATCGCTTGAACTCGCGGTCTGCACTCTATTCAATTGCGTCTTCCTGCTATTCTTCGCCCCCTTCATCAGCACTGGTGCCTCAGCATCTATCGAGCACACCTGCAGACAGACAGACCCACCGCCACGCGCGCGCGCGCCTCACATTGACACCTGCACTATTCCACCAGCCTCGGCCATGGACGACTCAAAGAGCCCAAGCGCTTTTATCGCGGCCACCGACATGGAGGCGAGCCTCAGCGGCCACGGATCTATCCACGCTGAGCCACCCGAGGAGATCAAGCGCGACCTGAGTTCTCGACATATCAACATGATTGCCATTGCTGGCATGATTGTACGTTGTCCTGGGTAGAAAAAGTACCACTTGGGTGAAACATGCTGACAATTAACAAGGGAACCGGTCTCTTCCTCGGGTCAGGCAAGGTGCTTTACATCGCTGGTCCCGCTGGCGCTCTTCTCGCCTACACCTTCATGGGTCTTGTCACGCTCGGAGTATCCTATACCACGGGCGAGATCACCACCTTTATGCCCAAGTGTAACGGTTACGCCTAACCGTTGCGCCATGGGCAAAAGATCAGGCATTGATCGAACGACGAGCGATCAATACAGGCGTAATAGCTGCTTATAGGGGGTTACGAGGGACCAGGTCGTAACATTAGCTCCCCTCCTCCAAGAGGTCGTCCCGACCTCCTAGGCTCTCCACGCACTAGCCTCGCTAGCGCGATCCTAGCAGCTACTGACCCCCAAGGCGTTCCGCAATAGTCATGCCCAAGCTATTCACGCGGAGCCTTGTTAGCGGCGGGGCTCGAACAGTGGACCTCGAACAGCAGCCCCCTGCCCGACCGGGCCACCAGCTCGTCGTTCGATCAAATTATAACGGTTACGCCTAACCGTTGCGCCATGGGCAAAAGATCAGGCATTGATCGAACGACGAGCGATCAATACAGGCGTAATAGCTGCTTATAGGGGGTTACGAGGGACCAGGTCGTAACACCAAGACTGGCGGTTTCGTCCGTCACGCAACGCACTTTGTTGAGCCCGCTCTCGGAGCCGCTGTCGGCTGGAACTTCTGCAAGTCCTCTTCCGTTCCCAAAGATTGCTCTCCTGGGCCATCCTGATTCCTGACTCCTGGGCTGACCATTTCTCCGTAGGGTACACGATGGCTATTGTCGTCCCGACGGACATGAGCGCAGCGGCGACCATTATCCAGTTCTGGAACACGTCTGTCCACCCGGCTGTGTGGATCACTATCTTCTCCGTCTGTATCGTCGTCCTTAACTTCCTAGGTGTCAGGCTTTATGGAGAGGTGAGACTCAACTGTAGTGCCTTGCTGGCGTGTCTGGCTGACCAAAACACAGTCCGAAGTTATTTTTGCCTCCCTAAAAATCATGCTCATCATTGCCCTCATTATCGGTGGGCTCGTCATCGACCTCGGCGGCGGCCCTGACGGGAAACGCATCGGCTTCGCCTACTGGGAGAACCCGGGCGCCTTCAACGAGTACATCATGACGGGATCCGCCGGACGCTTCCTGGCCTTCTGGAAGGTCCTACTCACCGCCGCCTTCAGCTTTGGAAACGTCCAGATCGTCGCCATCTCCGGCTCTGAGACACGCCAACCCCGTAAGATCATCCCGGCCGCGACTCGAAAGACCTTTCTGCGCGTCTTCCTCTTCTACTTCCTTAGCATCCTGATTGTTGGCATGATCGTGTAAGTCGCCTCTTTAGCTTAGAAGCCTCGGGCTAACTGGAGACCTGCAGTAAATACAATGATCCCTCGCTCTCCGTATCGACAGGCAACGCAGCCCAGTCACCATTTATCATTGCCTTTGAGCGCGCCGGCGTGTCCGTCCTCCCCTCCATCATCAACGGCGTCGTCTATACCTCGGCCATCAGTGCTGGGTCCGCCTGCATCTTCTTCGCCTCGCGCACCCTCTACGGACTCAGCCGCGACGGTCACGCCCCAGCCTTCCTCCAGAGATGCAACCGATACGGCACACCTCACTATGCAGTTGGAATGACCTGCCTCCTCCTCCCGCTTGTTTACCTCAACGTCGGCACCGACTCATCCGTCGTCTTTGGGTGGTTCGTCAACATCACGACCGTTTCGGGTCTGATTGGCTGGGTTGTCATTCAAGTCACCTACCTCCGCTTCTACGCCGGACTGAAGGCCCAGGGTTACTCCCGAGATCGTCAGTCTGCCCCTCCACAACATAGCGAAGACACGATGGAGTGTGCTAACAGTGTTTCTGCCACTAGAACTTCCTTACCGCAGCCCTGGTCAGCCCTATGTCGCATGGGCCACGCTCATTGCCAACGTCCTCGTCCTCCTTACATCGGGTTCGTCTCACATCACCCCTGCGAGGACTCGAGCCTTACGATGCCACAAAAGCTTCGACGCTGACTGAGAAACAGGATTCGACGTCTTCGTCGACGGTAACTTTACGGCCGCAGGCTTCTTGACTTGCTATCTTAATCTGGCCATCTTTGCTGGTAAGCCGCCGAGACCTCTCCTGATATATGAATTGCATGAGGGGTTCAGACTAACTAACCCGCGCCGCAACGACAGTGCTCTATGTGTTCTTCAAGTTCTGCTACAAGTCAAAGATTATCCCACTTGACGCGATGGATCTGAAGACTGAGTTTGAGGTTATTAGGAGGGAGAAGGAGGAAGAGGCCGCGTTAGGCATTCCGGCGGACGGGAAGCTAAAGACTGTCGTGGGTAAGATCCGCAACTGGATCTAGGTACTCCGGGGAGGGAGATGTCATAATAGAACGCAAATATTTTGCATATAAATTATTTTGTTATTCAGGAGTCTGGCTCAGTTTCGGACATTGTCCGGGTACCTAGCATGTCTGCCTTAAACGACAACCAGTACGACTCCTCTGCCCACTTTCTCAAACGTTGGAGAGAGACGAGAAGCTTGTAGATGCCTTGCTCAGATCGTATATCCCCAATCTACAGCGGTGGCCGGAAGACGACCGCGACATCATCCTCGCCTAGAGTCGACGCGACGAATTGCTAATCATGACCCTAGACAATAATGCCAGCTAGAAAGTCCAACGTAGGCAGTGCCCTACCACCCCAGCGTAAGCTCCGCCACTAGGCCGAGTGCCATATGGCGATTTAGAGCAAAGCGGCATCATATTGCTCCCCATGACGCTTAGTCTCGATGGAGATTACAATCGGTCGCTTGCTCAACATTCCCCACTCTATATGGTTAATAGAGTCACCCGGACGCAGCTTACGGAGGGCGTCGATGGCGTCCTGGTCTTCGGCAAGATTAGGACGAATCGCAAGACAAAAGTCAACCATCTTACTCGGCGCGTCTTTCGGCCGGTATGGCGGTAGGAGTCCGGCATTTAAGCTACTTAAATAAGCAAGTGACGGTCCACAACCGAAAAGAATGCTCACCAATATTCAGAGTCAAGGTCGCTTGATATCGTCGATGCAGTCTCGGTCGCTTCTTCGGTCGCTCCAATTCATCAGTGCTCTCTTCGGCGTGCACGACCGCAGCATCAATAGAGCTGAGCCAGAGCAAGATGAGAGGGTCGTCGCTCATATCGCGTGGGGTTGGTGATTGTGAAGCAAACGCGTCGCAGCCATGGGAATATTCGTGGAATAGTGACAATCCGTGGTGAGACGTAAATACCTAGAAGTCGGGTTGGCCCGGAAACAATCGATAAGGCGACCTTGTGCGGGGGGTGCGACTGCGACTCTGCGACAGGCCGCCTCTGAAATTCTGAATCCTGATGCATCATACCTTACCCTACGGCAAACGTCTGCCAGTGCCTACTGAAGCCCCAGGACTATCAGCGTCGCTTTTCGAAATAAATGCAACGTCCTACATCGCCCAGGCTGGCTAGTGATAACGGTCAGGCTTTAGGAAAGCACATGTGCGAAAAGTGTGGTACGTGATTAACAGCGCATTGCTCAACCAAGTTCGAGTGCGACCACGCAACCGACGTTGCTCTGACGAGAGCCTCAGTTCAAGTTATTGATAGTCACTTTCCTTCTTGGCATGTCAAGGGGCAGATTTCAATGTTAGATGCAAAATCCTCGTTTACTAAAATCCTCGACTTCCTTATAACCTCTCCACGCTCCTTTTCTTTGGACCCTTGCCTTGATTGACGCAGTTCGCCATTTGTACCAGTGACAACCTGGCTTTTGCTGCCATTGATCTTCACCTGCTTGCACAAATGTGCAAGCGACGAATTCCATGTGCGCTTCCGAGATTCTAACATTCTCGCGGGACGAGATTTCTGCGCCTAGGCGGACACGAAGCTTCACAGGCGGCACGTCCCTCAACATGGAAGAAGTCCATCCGATCCGAACCGTTTTGTTGCCGGTGTCCGCCGCTGCATACTGTTCTCGAAGAACCGTGTGCTCGGGCCTCTGGAGTGTGGGGAACGAATGCTGCAAGCGAGTCCAGAGTCCAGACGAGACGACTGCCGACGGGAAGCTAGGAGCGCGGAGTCTCTAGTGCTTATTGTGGAAGAGTGGTCACAACACCAAGGAACGGGCTCGTTATAGGCCAGAATACTCACTTTCGTGATGCATACAGAATCGGATTCTTTGAGGAAATGGATTGGAAGAACAAAGAGACACATGCTATTAATGCCTAAGGCCGCAAATGAGCCTTTCCTTCTGACAAGGTGGTTGTTAATTAGCGCAGCCACGAAACTCTAAAACAGAGGATCAGGTTCTCAGCTGTCGAATGACAGGCCGCCCGTGAGTCAGTGACCAACCGCACGCATTGGCGAATGAAACCAAGGTCGTGCCTGTGATAGCTAGTGAGTAGGTAGTTGCGGACACACCGCGAGCTAATAACTTGGTGGCTTGCATGAAGAAGGGGGGAGTCCGGGACCTCCTTGTATAGCCCGGAGTAATAAATTCGTCTGGCTCGCATTGGATGTTCCAGCGAGGCGGTCCCTTACTTTTGATCGCATCAAAATAGACTGCCAAATGGAGTCCAGCTTCTTTCTCTACTACTACTCTTCACCTTCCCCCACACGTGCAACCTGACGACATCGGCGACATGGCCGGAGAATCGGGTCCAATATCAGCTCCGCTTCCTATCAATATGACAATAGCTGGTTTCTTCAGCATTGCCTGCTACAACTGCATCGAGATTCTTATTATTCTGCTCGACCGGTTCAAAAGGCACAATAGTCTATATTTCTGGAGCATGCTGGTCACCACCCTAGGAATCCTCCTCCACTCCATCGTCGTACTCCTCCGCTATTACGGCTTGGGGCCCAACTTCATGCTCGCCGTCCTCACTTGCATTGGCTGGTACGGTATGGTCACCGGTTTTTCGGTCGTCCTCTACTCGCGCCTCCACCTAGTCGTGTCGGACGAGTCTCGGACCCGCTGGGTGCTGATCATGATTATCATCAGCTTCTGCATCTTCCACGTCCCCGTCACAGTTCTGTTTCTGGGCACCAACACTCGCCTCACTGAGGTATTCATCGGGCCATTTCATATTTACGAGCGCGTCCAGCTTGCAGGGTTTTGCGTCCAGGAGTGTATTATCTCGGGGTTTTATATCCTCGAGACTATTCGCACACTCAAGCCAATCCTCGCCATCAGGTTACCCAAAGAGCGCAAAATGACTAGATACCTCATCCTTGTTAATATTCTAGTCATTATCCTCGACATCAGCCTGCTCTTCACCCAGTACGCAGGGTATTTCCAGATCCAGACGACGTACAAGCCCGTCGTCTATAGTATCAAGCTGAAGATGGAATTTGTCCTCCTCAATAGGCTCCTTCGCGTCCTGCAGCTCGGCGGCTACGACCACTGGCGCTTTTTGGACGGAGGTAGTATCGAGCCTGTGGGGTCCGGCCAAGATGGAATGCAGCTGCAGCGAATTCCCGACCTTATAGAGCGCCCTTCATCAGCTGGAGTGCCCAGACGTGATGCCTAGCTAGGCTCTTTCAATAGTGTCAATAAAAGCTTTCATAACAAGAATCGCCTAATTACGCTATAGTCTCTCTCCCCTCAATCATGTCCCAAGTTGGCTTGTCCTTCGACATGTCCGCACCCGAACTATATCTGCCAAGTTTAGACTTCTTCGCGACGTAGTCCCGAGCGAGTGCCTCAATATTCGCCCAACCCAACTCTGCAGTACCTACGGCATGTCTATCTTGGGAGATTCTAGCTAATGCGTCGGCAACCCATGTCCGGCAGCGCCAGTTAGAATCGTTCTAAACAACCGGTGTGGCGCGGAATATCTCAATAAGCCGCTTCTCGTCTTCGACCTTTGTAATCGTGATTCGCGCTAGGAGACCTACGGTGGTCTTAACGTTTCTCAGGCGGACTTCTTCATACACCCAGCCCTGAAAAGGAGTATTCTTAACATGGTACCGTATACCGGGGACTTCCGGCTCTATTTCGATCTTAGGGCCCCCAAGGAAGCTCCAATGGTATCTAACGCAGGATGTCAGTCTGGCTTTAGAGCACTGACAGTCGAGTGGGTCTTACTTTCGTTCCTCATTGTTCACAACTCCGCTTGGATATAGGGCAATATACAATCGCTTCTTATTGCTCACTATAGTTAAGAGTGGAAAGGAAATTAAGCAAGGACGTCGAATTATATAAGTAGCTTTAAGACCCGAATAAGAGATAGGTAGACCTTTATAGTACTTACCTTTAACAAAGCCTTAGTCCTGCTAGAGATAAAATGTCGATTCAATTGGCCATGCTATTTTTACTTACGCGCGCGCCAAACGCTAAGGCTAAAATACACCCACCTTGCATATTAAGGGGCTCAGCTGAGACATCAATCTTAAGATTAATAGTTATGTCACGAGCGTTAAGAATAGGAAGCGGGCGGGGGCAAGCATAAGGCAGGAACATAATTAGATCTGTACCTAGCTTATATGTAATTTTCAGGCTGGAAAGAACGACGCAAGTAGTGTCTAGTATTTCAACAATCCCCCCACCACTTCTGACGCAATATTTCTATCTTTAACTCCTCTAGGTATATATCGAGGAAGCTGTCCAATATGTCTTGCCACCACTGGCGGGTACGATTTCCATACCATATAGCCGTGTATTCCCAGTAGAAAGGGTACTACCTTACGAATTCCTAGTCAATAATTCTAGTAACCTACGTCCCGTGAAGCAAAATATTAAAAGGGTTCAAATCGCCGTGTATAAACACAGGAGGCGGCCACGGCGTATCCTACTTAGCAATCATCGCCTGGATATCTTTATAATCCTTTTCACCTTTGCGGTCAGGATAGTCATTAAGTCGGAACCTATCACGGAGCTAGCGATAGAAGTCTTAAATTGTTGGAAATAGCCCGAACCGGGGTCTGGCATAGGGAATGCGGGAGTCATACAAGGAGCCGCCAACGTAGCTTTTAACTTCTATGTCGGGAGGCGTTAGGGATCTTAGTTCCTAGATTATGCGCCTTAGTTAACCTAGTATAGTGTCGCGATCGAACTTAGATAGCGTTGTCTATATCTTTAGGAGCTCGGCGCCCTGTATGCGCTCTATAATAATATATGCCCGATTGTTATAGACGAAGGAGTAGTGCACTCTCGGGACGGGAATAGAGGTATTAGTGGAAATGAACTATATTATAGCTGCCTCGGTGAGATAGACCTAGGGACTAGTCTTAACGATAAGATTCGGGGAAATTTATCGTATAAAGCTATCCGTCTTATAGTAATACGCTATTATCCGAAGCGCGACGCGGGTTAAAAAGCGACGAAGGGGGGTGTTTCGTATAGCTAAATTATTACGACCTAATATACGGCCGTATGCGCCTCTTACGTACCCCCTACTTTTTCCTCCTATCACGCTATCCGCGCTTAGTACGCGTGCTATAGCTCATGACCTTACCGTGAGCCCACGCTCTAATATTAACCTCTAGCTCACTAGATTACGACGCTCCCGTAAGCCCTTACTTTTATAACTAATATATAGGAAGCCTAGCTTTACTATAGTTAGTCTCTACTAGCTCCTTAGCTATTAATTATAATTATCTACGTAAGATCTACTATCTCGTATATAAATTATAACCTAACCGCTTAAGTTAACGATATCTTAGTATACTTAGTTTATAAACCGACTTATTACGACCTAATATGCGGCCACTGACGCATGTCACGTGGGCCCCTATAATTTCGTCGCACGAATCCTATTTATACGACTAGGGACCTACTATTTCTACTAACCACGCACTAATTATACTAATTACTAACTCTTAATACCACGACCACGGTAATTAATTATATTTAATTACTATTAATTACTCTTATTTAACTATAATTACTTCGTGATTACCTTAGTATATAGGAAGCCTAGCTTCGCTATAGTTAGTCTCTACTAGCTTCTTAGCTATTAATATAATTATCTACGTAAGACTTACTATCTCGTATATAGACTATAACCCGATTACTTAAGTTAACGATATCCTAGTATACTTAGTTTATAAACCGACCTTAGATCTACCTACCCTATAGCTAGTTTAACCCGAACGTTATATATTAATAGCTCTTATTTAGTATACTACTATATTAAGTACTTAAGTAATATAATACTATAGCTAGCGAATCCTCTAAGATAACCCTTAAGTCCGCCGATAAGGGTAAGGCCACGGCTAAGTATACCGAGCCCTCTTAGATAGCTTAGTCTATAGACTTAGACTCGGACGAGTCTAATAACGAGGATACGAAGATCCTTAAGGGATAAATCTAAGAGTTATAAGGGTAGCTATAGTAAATTATCGATATATAGACCCGCGATAAATAATAATACGATAAAGCCTACTATTCTTTTAATAAAGGGATAACCTTATAATATTAGTAGGCCGCTTAACTAAGGAACGAGATAAATAGTATAAGTAATAATATTATTCGATAGGCTACCGGTAAGGACCTAGGAGAGATTATAAAGCTACGCTAACTAGGACTATTCGATAGTATGACTAAGGACCTTTAGGGATTCCTAACTTAGGTTAGGGCTTACTAATAATACTTCCTATCTATCCTTTATATAGAAGAAGATAAAGTACGCTATATAATAGGATATTTATTAGGAGCCGCTCTTATATAATTCGAACCTACTCTTAGGGACTTCGTAATTAATACTTATTAATACCGAAAATAAGAGATAAAAGATATCTTCGTATACTATAATAACTTTAAAGAAATATTAAAGGCGACTTTCGGGACTATTAATAAAGAACGCCTAGCTAAGAACTAGCTAGAGGCGTTAAAGTAAAAAGGGTTAGCCTTAGATTATAGCGCCTTATTTATTTAAATCGCGTCTAGGATTATTAAGAGTAAAGGAGATAAAATAGCCTTTTTCTACCGAGGTCTTAAAGACGAGGTTAAGGATAAGTTATATAAGGAAAACCGACCCGCTACCCTCGCGAGCTATATCGCGATAGCCGTTAAGATCGATAACTAATAATTCGAGCGACGACGCGAGAAAAAGGGATAATACTTTATTAATACCTTAAGCCGCGATCGTAATAATAAGAATCGGATCTATCCTAATATAGGTCGGCCTTAATTCTACTAGAGTATTACTCTTAGCGGAACTTACGCGGGACCTATAGACTTAGATATTATATAACGAAAGCTCGCCGTAATAGATAAAAAGAATATTAAATATTATAATTACGAAAAGAAAGATTATATCGCGCGAGACTATAAGTCTCTAAGAAAGGAACGAAACTAAGGCTAGAAACTAATCCTAGAAAGTAAGTATAAATAGCTAAATATAACTAGATCTAGATATAACGTTAGCCTCCCGTAAAATATAGTATCCTTTAGGGAGAAGGAACGATAGAAGTTCCTCGAGGAAATTAAGAAGGCCGGAGAAGAAGTAAGAAAGTAACTAATACCCTACGAAGTATTATACTAATTAGGATACTATAACGATAGCTACCTAACTTATCGGGATAGTAAGGAAAACTTAGGATAGTTCCTTAAGGCACTATATAAGTCTCGCGCTCTAGCTATAATACGTAAGGTTACTAAGGGACTAAGAAAGTACCCGGACGACGCGGATAAAGAATTATCTAATACCGACTCTATAGATAGCGACGAAGAGCTCCTATAAAAGAAATAGATACTTAAGACTAACCTACTATACGGACGAGTAACCCTACGAGATTAAATAAAAATAGCGATAAATCGGTACGACCTTTTACTATAAGGGGAAGATCTCTAGATAGTTATCCCCGCCTAGATATTAAATAGAGGAATTAATTAAGTAATAGACTAAAGAATAATCTTAGGAGATAACCTACGCGTATACCTAGACGTATTAAAATATTACGAACTTTTATAAATCTCTTACGTATACTATTTCTATAAGGTCTATATACTTAATAAAAAAAAGTATTAAGTTTATTTAATTAAGGGACTAGCTACCCGTATTATTAACGATCTATACGAAAGATATAAAGTAAAGTTCTATAAATATATATATATAAAACCTAGTATAGGATATATAATACTAAGGTAGTTAGTAAAATACTAGGGTTACTAGGGTTAGGGTTAGGGTTAGGGTTAGGGTTTGGGTTAGGGTTTAGGGTTAGGGTTAGGGTTAGGGTTAGGGTTAGGGTTAGGGTTAGGGTTAGGGTTAGGGTTAGGGTTAGGGTTAGGGTTAGGGT